ATAATAGACCTGTCTGGATTTAAAGATATTTTTTTCTGCCTTCCATGTCATAAGTGTATTAAATTCAGTTTGCAACAATAACTTTTCTTTGAAAAGATCTGGTGTGGGCAAAAGAGCATGGCGTCTGTCAATATCTGCAATTTTTCCAATCAGATCTTTAAGTTGTTTGGAGCGCTCCTTATTCTTATGTGCTACATAAGAGATAACTTGTCCCCTAATGTAGGCTTTCATAGAATCCCACAAAATGCCCCTTGATACATCCTGAGTGTCATTAATTTCTAGAAAGAAGTCAATCTGATTATTGAGATATGTCCTAAAATGTTTACATGAAAGTAATTGGGGGTCTAGACGCCAAGTTCGTTGGGGCGCTACATTATCTGGAAAAAATAGATCCATTTGGGGTATGATCTGATCTGTACAAAACTGTGGTATTTACTGTTAGAAATTAAGGGAAGTAGCTGGTCATCTACAATAAAATAATCGATCCTGGAATAGCTATGGTGAACAGGGGAAAAGAAGGAGAATTGCTTTGTGGTTGGATTTTTAATCCGCCACGGGTCTGATAGGCCATAAGAACGGAGGAAGGAGTTGATAACCATTGCAGCTGACGAAAGAGTGTTATTTGGTTTTGGGTTTGACCTATCCAGCTGGGCATGAAGGACGCAGTTGAAGTCCCCGCCAAGAATCAGTTTATAGGAATTAAGGTCTGGGAGAGCTGAAAAAAACTGAGTAAAGAATTGTGCATTGTCCCAGTTTGGTCCGTAAATATTAGCCAACATTAATGGCGTATTAAATAGCTTGCCCACTACCACAACATATCTACCGTTAGCATCTGAAATCACCTCAGACAGCTCAAATGAAATTCCCCTCCTAATTAGAATTGCTGTTCCCCTGGCTTTGTAATTAAAACGTGAATGATATATTTGTCCAATCCATTTATAACTTAGTCTCTTTTGGGAATTAATATTTAAATGTGTCTCCTGTAATAATATTACATCAGGTTTCAGTGATTTCAAGTGACTAAATATTTTAATTCAATTCAATTCAATTCAATTCAATTTTATTTATAAAGCCCAATATCACAAATCACAATTTGCCTCACAGGGCTTTACAGCATACGACATCCCTCTGTCCTTATGACCCTCACAGCTGATCAGGAAAAACTCCCCAAAAAATCCTTTAACGAGGAAAAAAAACGGTAGAAACCTCAGGAAGAGCAACTGAGGAGGGATCCCTCTTCCAGGACGGACAGACGTGCAATAGATGTCGTACAGAACATATCAGCATAATAAATTAACAGTAATCTGTATGACACAATGAGACAGAGAGAGAGACAGAGAGAGACAGAGAGAGAGAGAGACAGAGAGAGAGAGAGACAGAGAGAGAGAGAGATGCAGGTAATGACAGTAGCTTACAACAACATTATTGAAAGTAATAATATTATAGTTATAGTTCTGGCTACTGTGGTACAATATGTTGAAAGTATGTATTAATATCTGGCAGTATACATGTGTGACAATAGTCATATGTGTATAATAACAGTAGAAGTATGACTAATGACTAATGATGGCAGCAGCAGCAGGAGGCATCTGGCAGGACCACGGCAGCAGCACAACCACACACGTCACGCTGTCCAGGCACCGCTG